CGTAAGAAGCAAAAGAAGGATGTATATGATTCTAGACCTGCAGACACAACAGCAAGAGGCTTGAAATCAACAACTACTTCACTTGAAGCTGTCCAAAACTTTGTATCTAACATTCAAAACGAAGAAAGACAGCAGGTGGCTACTTATTTGGAAGGATCTTATGATGAGGACGAGGACGAGGATTATGAAGAAGGAGATGATGATGATAATGATGGACAAGATGAGGATTTTGATGAAGACGAGGATCTTGAAGAAGACTTACTTGATGATGCGGGGAATAACCAAGAGGAAAAAGAGAAAGTCAACTCAACAAATAGCAGCCAGCACAACTTACCTCATACTGCAACACAATTTCAACCAAGCAAAATAGATTCTCCGACAACACCATCCAACAGTGCACTTGCATCTGAAACACCTAAGAAGCCACGTACTGTTATAGGCGAACGAAAGTCGCTGATTTTGTCAGGCGAAAAAAATTGCCTGTCTGGACCACCCGCTTCTCATGGACCCGCAACCCTCTTCGCAAAGTTGACGCTTTTGCGTTAAAAAAACAACGCAAAAATTGCGCACCTGCAAAAAAAAAAATTTCGAAACAAAGCAAGGTTTATTTTTCATCACGGCTTCATTAAATATATTGATTTACGTTCTTGTGCATCGGAATGAAATAACTCTTCCCCTTTCTAGTAACAGTAACACAAGGAACCAGAGGCTCTTTGTTGGACACTTCAATCACAGACCTGTCTGACAAATTCTGCAAAGTCACTGTGGAATCCGTGAATGATTTGATTTTGAAGTATTTTGCAGGAGTACAAGAAGTATCAGCCACAACATCTCTCTCTTTCTTCAATACGAAATGACCACACACACATTCCGAAGGTTTGAGTTCACTTAAACCAAATATATCGCATAACTGCGCCATATCAAAAAACATAATAGAATACCTTGCAGAATTTGATGAAATGAACGGCTTGGTCAATGTGAAGTTTAGATTTTCCCCAACAAAGGCTGTATTATGTGCCAATGGACCATATAGGCTTGCATTTCGCACCATATCACTAGCTACATGGAAGTTCATTGTAGCCTTTGCAATACCTACCATCTCTTGATAATCCTCCAAAATACCTCTTAGTTCCTCATTAATTGAATTCAAATCAGCTATATTAATGGCATCTGTTAACTTGTCAATTACAACAACCATTCTCTTAATAATTTTATACTTCAACTCAATCATACTGAAATTCTTAACATCCTGAAGTAGATCTAGATAATAGTGAATAATCATATATATCTCCATTGCCTTAAGGTGTACTAAATTTTTGGAAACTGATCTCGGGTGTCTATGTAAGAACGAAGGAAATTTTTGCTTGAGATATTCCTTGTCGAACTCGTCCCAATATTGAAGTGGAATCATCTCCATCATGTCACGCATAATTCCTTCATACAAGTTATGCATTGAATCATAGGAGCATATTGTAGTGGGAGTTGGTTTCCAACTCTGGTCTAATATTGGAGAATATCCACGAACACCCCATGACAACTCTTTTCCCGAAATATTATTCCAAAAATGTCGATCTCTCAAACCAAAAACAATTCGTTGATTACTAGAAATGTCTCTCCTAAGTGGATATCTAACTTGAGTAGTTCCTCCTGGTAACTGAACAGGTTCCCCTCGAATCTCGCATAAATGGCAAAAATAATACCCTGATTTTTGAAATAAGAGAATTTCAGACCTTGCAGGTAAGTCAGCAATTACTCTTTCTAATCTCAATGATATTTGTTTAAATTGATCATTGAACACATTCAAATCATCCATCATGATTTTCAAACACAAATTGATTTCTTCTTGAGATGGTTTGTTAGGAAATAGTAGCCACAAAAAGTTATTCTTGCGCTTCTTTCTTACATTTGGTTTCATCTCATTGAATGTGACAGAGAATTCGTAAAAGCTTTGCTGACTAGATTTAAATGGAGCAACACCGTCACCAAATAACGTCATAGTTTTTCCTCCTTCATCTACGAATTTTTTGTGAATGTTTTTGTAGATGTCTCCGTCACAACGATCTTGGATAAGTTGGGGATCACGATTATCAAGTTTAAATTGATCCAAAAATTGTGGCTCTCTGAATATCCTTTCCTCGAATTGGAATTTTAATGGGCGTAAAAAGCAATGAGTTTTGATATCTTTCCATAATTTCCCACATTTAGGACAGGATTTTTGGTCTGGATTTTTTTGATACGTCTGACAATGAGTGCACATTGGAATTTTCTTTGTCTTTGAAGACAAAAGGAAATACTTATAGAACCCTGTTAATGTCAGCTTATCTGAAAGTTCTTGTTTATCACTCTCATGAATGAGTTGAATGGCTTCTCGAATTAGATTTAAAACCATTTTGAGACAATTTTCAGAGAGAGAACTTGTTACTGCAAACTTGAGAATTTTTTTCATCAACGTATCAACATTTACATTGACATTATCATTCACAACGCTTGAAAATGAATGGGAAGAGAGAACTTCTTCATCTAGTATGCCATCATCTCCATCACTCCAATATTCTCTGAAAAACTGTAACAGGTCGTCTTGTTCTGATTGTGCATTGGATGGATTATTTTCATTCGTCGGAGATGAATCATGAGAACCTGAACAGAGATTTTCCAGACCCTCTGCACTACAATTACATTGTTGATTTTCTACTGTATGGTTCTGAGAAGAGTAATTTATATCTATTCCACCAATATCTAACAAAGAATCATCATCAATGCAATGAGCAACAGTCTTACGAAACTTATTTACAGGCTCATAATTTGGCTCGTGATTGTATTTTGAATTGACAATTGAACTGGACCCTTCTACAGTTTGGCGCTTCAAACCAAATTGCTTCATTATTTACAACAACACAAAACAAGAACGTTGATTGTTTAACGATATAGATTCCATTAAGTGTCTCCAATTACGTATATTCGTCAAGAAATATCTATCGTTCCCAAATTTTCGATCCACTTGCAAATTGGACATTTAACGGTTGTAAAACAAGATTCAACATTACTCAAAAAAATGAAAAGAACAAAATCACACCCTGGCAAGAATGCAACAAAGAAAACCAAAGCAAACGATAGTACACTTTCAACACAAGACACTTCCTCCGATTTAGAGCAAATAATTTTATTCGAGGCCAAAAAGCCAAATGAAAAACAAGCTAAGTTAATTGCGAAACACTCTGAAAATGCTTTATGTAATAGTATTCCTCAACTTGAGAAATATTTAGACTTTTTGCAAAACATTCACAACAAGGATATTGACATTACAAACAAAGACTCTGTCTCTGCAACATACATTCTGATGAATCAATTTCTCAAACAAGGAGAAAAGGTTTTTGTTGGTATTCAAGCTGGTAATCCAGAACGCTTGCGACAGTCAATTTTGCAAACTTATAGCTCGGACAAAGATTTTTCGGAACGAATATGTGCTGCAGTCAAGGCTATCAGTGTAAGCCTTTTGAAACAAAAAGGTTTAATTGAATCCACATGCCCACCTGTGAGTTCAAATCTCAAAGTTGGAGATTTAGTTGAAATTATTGAAAAGGGAGAGAATTGTTACTACAAGATTGGTAAAGGAAGAGTTCAATCACTCACTTCAACTAATTGCAGTTTAAATGACATTATATTTCACGTTCCATCCTTCGTTCAAGATCAAAAGAAGACGATTTTTGATATTTCATGCCTTTCATTAATTGAAGATCGAACCAATCATGCTCCTATGATTCAAAATGCTTTTTCTACGGTTCAGCGAGAATGTACTCCAGTCTCCTTATTTTCCATGAATTATGACACTGAAGTCGATGATGACAAAATTGATGACAATGAAGTTCTCTCTATAACTCCACCGGAAATTTCGGATTCAAGAACAAACTCAAATTCAAATGTTGAAGAGAGTGATTCTCCTTTGCAAAATGAGCCCAAGTCTACGGGTTGGGTTGGGTTTGGATAGGTGCCCAGCTTGACTTTGAATCTTAATTTTTCGACATGCTTAATCATTGGATTTTTAATTTTTATGACATCGTCGGGGATGGAGGTATATCTATGTTGATATGACTTTCATCCATTAATTATGGGTAATTATTGAACTGTATTCGCTTAAAGTAGACCTTTCGTGCATGGTCGGGGTTTTCGTCATCTTTGACGTAGAGCTTGATCCAAGCATTTCGTTCGATAGATTTTGAAGAGTAGTACATTCGTGCTAGCGACATCATTGGATAGTGAGCTAAGTTGGTTGAATAGTTCAACAAATGGTGACAGGTGTCAAAATGTCGATAGAGTTTAAGCGACACCTTTTTTGTAGATCTCACGAAAATAATGGGGGTCATGATAGAGCATTCGATCAGGTTTAGGGTAGTTTTCGAGAAAATCAAGTTTAAAGGAGTTTCATCGAGGTCAAAAATTTTTCAAAAAAAAATTAAAAAAAAATGAAGCCAAAACTCCCTGCATTTTTGAGGTGATCATCATCAAGATCGGGTCATGTTTCCATTCATCATCATGTCATATTTATATTGATCACATCGAATGTGCACATCATGATCAACATTTATGAGGAATATTTTGTGTGTATGAATACACATGGAAATGATAATCATCAAATAGTACTGGTTGGAATTGTAGTGAACTGCTTCCGTTGGATGTGATGATCATGGAATGAATCTGATGATCGGAATGTTGTTACAGTGATCAGAAACCATAGAATTGATCGTTGATTCAGTTCAAAGTGATGGTCATTTCATGACTTTGTGTGATGTGAAGTGTGATGGTGGATATATGGAAGAGCTGAAAAGTACGATCGAGACAAGCACTTCACATATCTTCATGAAATTGTTACACATGGTTGTTCTGATCATTCAAACAACAAATCATCAGTTTTATTGATTGACATGATTGTTTCATAGAATGGGAGCACTTCGATTTTATCGGAAAACATCATTTCTTGAGAAAGGGTACAGCTCTCCTCTCTTGTTCATGTCATTCATTCAATCATCATGATACGTTATGATCATCATTGTAGAAGTGTTTCATGTGATTATGAATGGTTGAAAGTGATCATGATGAATTGTTGTTGGTATGTATTGTTGTATGATTGAATGATTATTTTATAACAATTGACTGATTCAGTTTTTCGATAAACCGAGGATTGCAATGTTGTATAATACATTGTGGAGAGTATTTCTATGACTATTGATGATGGATGTGATCATTATTGGTGGAGTATCATGATGAATGTTGTGGTGGTGTGATACCATGTCCTTCCGAGAGTGAGTATGTCATGAACACTACATATCAACATGTTCGTCATGATGAGTATGACACATCCATATTGGTTGCACTCACTGATTCATCAATTTGTGGAAGTGGTGTCTCACTCTTTCAATTCATTTTTCTTTTTCACGTGATATTACGATACTGAATAATTTCAAGAATATCACAGTGACTTTATTTGATTATACATACTAGGATATTGTTATTTTGAAATTTGTGGAATTTATCTATATGAGTTGATTTTGTTATGAGACACCTGAGAAGTGTTGAAAATGATTATTAATTAATTTTTGAAGAGTTGTCAGGAGAGTGATGTAGATAGTTTTTTATGGTAGATGAGATGGTGTACAACACATTGATATTAATTGTTGTATTTGTTCATGTCTAGAATGTATTGTTGTTGAGCACCTGAGAAGATTTCGTCATGAAGTGCGTTACAATATGAGACATGGTTGTTTTCTTGAATAGTTGCAATCATCCATGTGTTGATATTGTTCCATTGTGTTATTATTGATGTTGTGGAGTGTTGTGATTCATTGTGTGATGGAAGGATTCACTCATGTCATGTTTGACACTTTTTCATGGATAGCCTGTGTTGATTCATGATGGCTACATTGAAAATAAAGAATTAATTCAGTGATTTTCATGATCAGTGCATGTGAAATGTATGGTGTATGTGGTTGATATGCTTCAATGTTCATGTCATCTTGATTTTGAATTTTGTCTGGATTTACTGACCCTATACTTCCGCATTTAGAATTTATCCAAAAAAATGTTGAAGTGACTGATCAGTGTTGTTTGGTGATGTGATGACGGAATCATGATTGAAATCATTTGTAGTGATCGTAGATGTGTGCTTCAACCGTATTGGATACGTCAACCATGTTCGTTGTTATCACCAAATGAATGAGTGTTCAAAGTAAGTTGTTCATGAAGAGTGATGAGATGAAACATAGTTGTTTGAATGTTCATTCAAGTTGATAAACATGCTTGTCATGATGGTGTGATTACGTGATAGTGATTGTGTTGATCTATCAGTTGTATGTGTTGAGTAATGTTCCAGTCATTACAATAAAGTTTGATGTTGTGGTGGATGACATCTTTGTTTTGTATATTAAATATGCTTTCATGATCATGAAGTACTGATGTCATAGTGTGAGTCCTATCATTTTGAAGTGTTGTGTATTGTTGTGTGCTTGGTGTGATATGAAACTTTGAAAAAATTGTGACATTTTCTTTATATGTTGTGATGATGTTCACTAATCTTTATGAGATTGATATATCATGTTTACCATGTCTATGATAACGTATCTATGAAATATTAGTGAATGTGTATTGATACTTGCTGAGACAATTGATAAATGTTAACTTTGGAGTGTTTCAAAAAATTGTGGTCTTAGTCTCTTTTTATGGGTTTGAAAAATTCTACTCTTTGGGTTTACTCTTTGGGTTTACTCTTTGGGTTTACTCTTTGGGTTTACTCTTTGGGTTTACTCTTTGGGTTTACTCTTTGGGTTTGCAACACTAGCAGGGTTTGCAACACTAGCAGGGGCCGAAGGTCCCTGCTTAACACTACTGAGTGAGATGAGCTGTGTTTTGAATGGAGTTTTGACTCGGGAGAAGAGCACAACAATTTACTTGGTGGCTATCCGGGCCAGAGTATTTTGTTTTTATTGCGAAAGCAACTTATGCTTCTTCTTAAAGGATTCGTTGGTGGTAACCTCAAATTGATTGAGGTACCTTATTGATTGAGTTTGGTTGATTTCTTACTGTTCCCGCCACCGGAATCATCGGAATCATCGGAATTTTGATTGTTGGAATTCGACTTTGTAAAAAATGAATCAATACATTTCTGTTTCAAAGTTCGTTTCTTCTCTTCATTCGATGATTTCTTCTTCTTCTTCCTATTTGATGGAATTGAGGAAGGAGTTTCACTCGATGAAGCTTGTGGTCGTTCCACTCGCTTTCTTGGTGGTGTTAGTTCGGTACCAAGCCTTGTAATTCGTCCAAGTATATCATCAGGTGGTTGTGAACTTCCTGGATTGTTACTTGGTTGATGGTTTGGTTTGGTTTGGGTTAGTAAGCGTAGTATTAGTGGGGTTGGAGGGTTCGCTGGGGTGCTGGGGGGTTTAAGATCCTCCAAAAGATCCTTTCCTCCAACCCTTCGTTGTGTAATCTTGTTGAGGTGAGTTCCTCTTTTCAAAGCTAAAAATTTGTTAGCAATGAACTTATAAAATTGTGTATCAATCTGTTGTTGAGTACAATCAGGATTGAGATATTTGAAGAATTCAATCTTCTTTTGAAATGCTCTGAGCAATTCAATAATTGTAGGCATTCTGATATTACAAATGATCACTTTTGAAGGATCATTCACAAATGTAATACCCTCACATACATGATTGAGAATTTTCCTATAAGGAATATGATTGTCAGTTCCCTTAAAGACCACTCTCCAAACTGGTGGAGGTTTCTGTTCATGAAGAAACAATTGTGATCTTGCTCTCTCAATTTTCACTTCAATGGAAGTTGAATTTAGAGGATATTTCCTCTTGAGAGTAAAATAATTGAGATGTTTCATACACTTATTAATAAATTTGTAGGAGTATCCTCTGTTGTGAAGTCTCTCCTTGAAACGATCTCTAATTCCAACCCATAGTTCAAATGTTGAACATCTCTTTGCATATCTAATCAATTCTCCATGAATGAGTCCCTTTACAACACCAGGAGCTGCACAAGAATCTTTTCTTGTATATTGATATAAATTGAGTTCCTTTTGATGTGTTGTTGTTTCAATTCGAAATGGTTCGGATTCATCATTTTGAGGACTGAAAAAGAATTTGATATCAAGGAATGAATCTGTGGATGCGTCATTGAGAATTAGCGATTTTGGATAATATCTCTTGAGATTTCTGATATATTTCTGAAGTTGACCACGTCTTCCTTCATTTACACGATGGAAGTGAATTGTGAAGATGTCATCAATATATCTCTCAAGATGTAATTTGTTATTTCTCAATTTTCCAAGAGCGTCTTGGTCATGACTAGTCCATTCCAATTCATAATAACAAAGAGTGAGATTTGCAATGTTTGGAGCTGCGTTGGTTCCCATTGGAATACCTTTCTTTTGATGATAGAACTTGTCAAGTTCTGGTACTTTAAAGTATGTAGTTCCCAAAACGATTTGGAGCATGTGCAATGTTGCCTTATTATGTTGAGGATTGAACATGGAATTATCAATACTCCGTCCATATTCAAGCATGTTAATCATTGCATTAATGATATCGGAGTGTTCGAGTTCTGTATAAAGAGAGGTGAAATCCATTGATTTCATATTTGCATAATTCCTGTGAGGAAGTCCTGCTCTTTCATAACATTGCATGATTCTGAATTGAGATTCATCTGCACTTTCTGAGATGAAAATTCGTTTGTAGAATCTTGATTGAGGGTTGTCTGATTCTCTTCTTAATAATCTAATTAATAGAATTAATCTTGCATTAAGAAGTTTTGAAATGATTGTATTATGACAATCAACAGAACTGACAATTGGTCTACCAACAATTGGATTCTTATGAACCTTTGGAATCATATAGAATCTTGGAAGTGGTTTTGACAACAAGTTTTCCTTCTTGTGATGTGTCTCCACTAAATTGAACACAATCTCTGAATTTGTCTTGATATGAGGAATGTGCTTTGTCAAATTTTCCTTAATTTGTTGTTTTGCATCATTCTCTGTGGAAATTTCAGAGTAGTGAGTTGAAGTGCTCAATTGACGATTGAGTTCTTGGATATAAGAGGATTTACTCCAGAGAGTTGTACCAAGATTCTTGTCAGATGGAGTCACAATAATGTTAGGATTACTTCCGAGAGTTTTGATACTATTCAATTCTTCCTTTGAGAGATTTGAAATTCTTGGTTTGAATTTCTTGTAATAATCGGAGAGAATCTTTGGAATAGTCATTGTTGGATTTGTTCTGTTCCAGGGAATGTTTGTTGCTCTCATTTGTTTATAGACACGTTCAAATGATTCAGTGTCAAATTTGAGAGCTTGAGAAGAGTTTGAAAAGGTACATGGAATAAATTTTGTACCTTTATTAAGGAGTGAAATGTCATTTTGAGTAATTTCAAAATTATCCATTCCAATGAGATGAACGGTTTTCATCTTCTCCTTAATAGAATTATTGTATGTGAGGGGAACTTGTCAATTACGAGGAGATGAGAGATTCCTCTTCCTTTGAGGAGTATTTCTTCTCGAGTTGGATGATGAATTCTGAGAGTTATTCTGAGAGTAATTCTGAGAATTGTTCTG